CTCTTTTGGTTACATTCTCTCAATGTTTTAAGACGGATGTCTATCAATTCTGTTATACTCGTAATTCCATAATCTATGTTCATATACAATAACAATTTTTCAGTCCTAAATCGATTAGAATGGGTATATATGTACAAAAATAGACATATACACAAATACACATGTATAATATAAATCGGTGATACTTCATTTTGTAGTTGAGTTTTGTTCAGATTTGTCGTTTACATTTGCTCTCGTTTGTACATTGTGACATTTATATTTTGCACTCTAGCATTTGTCATGTCGTGGATGAAGCGTTCCGCCGCCGCTGGCCAGGTCACGCAGCGAAACTTTCTGCGGGAGAACAAGCTGCTGGTGGGCCAGACGCCGCTGATGACGCTGCGTCGCCTCGAGCGGGAGAAGTTAAGGCATCTCGAGCACGAGAGAGAATCGCATCGCTGGCCGCTGGCCAGCTATGAGCTGCCGACAGTCGCCTCGCTGGCGCATCGGTCCGGCACGCTGCCCTTGATGGAGACGCAGCGACGCCTATTCAACGGCGGGCGCGGGCAGGGGCGTGCGTTTGGCAGGGTCGGACAGCGTTCGGAGAAGGAAATACAAACGGAAGACATTAGCGACGAGCAGTTCCTCAGTGCGGCGCTGCTCAAGTGCACGGAGCATGCGGGCAAGGAGCATTTGCAATTCAAGCAGGTCTGCAGCGAGGGCGACGAGCTGCCCGTGCGGGGGGCGGTGGTTGATGGCCAGCGGGATGTTAGCTGCCTGCGACGCATTGCCTCCAATTTTGAGCTGGGCAAAGTGCCCGCACAGCGCCTGCAGCCGTCGATGCAGCACAGAGCACATCAACGATTGCTTGGCCACGGTGTGGACACTGTGCCCGCTCAACTGGAGCAGGAGGAGTGCCAGTCGGCCAAACAGGATAAACTGGATGCTGATAGCAGCTCTAATTCGGATTTACCCAACGTCCTGCAGCTGGCCATACCCGACGTCACTGACGTGGAGCAGGAGCCGCAGCTCGATCAGTCCTTGAGTGCACGCACTCAGGCCTCCTGCCGCTCGCAGAAGTCCAAGTGCGAGGAGCCGCCGCCCGCCACCGAAACGCAGCAGACAACGCAAATGCCCCAGAATGCGAGCAACTGCCAGGGCCAGGACCAGGTGCTCCTAACAGAATCACAGCGCATCTCGCTGCTCGAGGCGGCCCAGTCGCGCCAAAAGGAGCTCATCTGGGAGTACAATCGTCTGCCCTTGTCCATGGGAACGCTGCGCGTGCGCAACCTGAAACTCCAGCTGGAGCAGCAGCTGGATCTGATCGACAGCGACCTGAAAATGCTGAATCTGCCACAAGTATACATTACACGTGACCACTTACAGCAAATCTCAAGTATCTCGTGTTGAACATTTTATTATCGTCACAAATTATTTTAAAAACTTAACAATGTGTACGCTGTTATTAAATGCATTTCGATGATATCTGCGCTATATTTTATTTGATTTTATTCGTTGAAATCTGTATTCTGTTCGAGGATTTTCAAACTTTGGTTCTTAAATCTTTGTCAGTTATAGGGACTAATCGACTCTAATGTCCTTCTATAAAAATCGATAGGTAGACAATATAAAAATCGATCAATTTCTGTAACCCATGGCAGTTACAGAGTTAAAAAGGTTTTCATTTGATTTTATCCGAATTTTGTTTTTAAATTACGTCTCGTACGTCTTCAAAGCCAGGGTTTATAAATTTTGCTTTAGTTTTCGTTATAATTTGAATACCGATTCTAAACATTATCAATTCATTCAAATTGCATTTCGCCTGCGAATATAGGCAATAGATTAGGTAGATTGCTTAACCAAATTGCTAATTAAATATGTAGATAAAAGTTGAATAGAAATGTTTTTTTTTTTTTTTTTTTTTTTTTATGTTCTCAAATTTTATGTCTGGCATGAAAATATTGAATTTATTTTATTTAGAATTATAGAGTATATTTCAAAAAGTCAAAGTTCAGGGCATCTACTAGTCAGGCACCTCAGCATGTAGTTTTCTGTTTTTTAAGTATCAATAGTAGGCTTTGTAATTCATCTTGGGCTATATGCTCACAACACAAAATATTTTCGTCAGTTTTATTATATCTTCATACGAACTTGTTTCTATTTTCAAATTTCATAAATTCAGTTGCGTTAATTTACAATTCGATGCATTTCAAACAAATTGAAATAGAAAACTATCGTTGCAACCGATAGTCACTACAAGAATCATCATCAGAATCATCATTTCCATAGTGTGTGTACACACTGTCCATTCCAGGGCTGCGTTATATAGACGCCGCCGACCATTTTTTGATACCACCATTTTTCGAATTGCTTTGGATGCCAGCAGCAGATAGTTGCAGCAGCTAGTTTTTTAATTAATTTATTGTATTAGTGTATAACTGTGAAATTTCTTAGTGCAACGCATATTCGACTATTCAAGCATTCAAACAAGTACGATTGCATACAAATTTTCATTGAGAGAATATTTAAGGTAAGTGAATGAATAACCGAAATAACAATATTATGTATATCTGTTATTCCTCTCCTATAATTGCAATTGCAGCACCTGATTGCGTCGAACCATGTCGGACTCTGTGACTGTTGCTCTGCGCGTGCGCCCGCTGGTGAAATCGGAGCTCGATCGCGGCTGCCGCATCGCCGTGCAACGCGTCGCCGATGGAGTGCCACAAGTGACTGTGAACCGCACCGACTCCTTTACATATAACTACGTGTTCGACAGCCGTGACTCGCAGCAGGACGTGTATGAGTCCTGTGTGCGCAGCAAGCTAAAGAAGTTGCTCCAGGGCTTCAATGTGACGATCCTCGCATACGGCCAGACAGGCTCTGGCAAGACCTACACGATGGGAACTGCATTCAATGGGGTCATGGACGAGCATGTCGGCGTCATACCTCGTGCCGTGCACGAGATCTTTGAAGAGACAGCCGCCATGCATAATGACTTCCATTTCAAAATAACATGCTCCTTTGTGGAGCTGTATCAAGAGCAGTTCTACGACCTGTTTTCGCCCAACAAGCGAGAGGACAGTACTGTGGATATACGCGAGGACAAGAACCGCATTGTTATGCCTGGAGTGACCGAGGTGGAGGTGACGCAAGCCAAGCATGTCACCGATGAACTAATGCGTGGCTCATCCGGCCGTGCTGTGGCCGCCACGGCAATGAACGAGACCTCATCCCGATCGCACGCGATCTTTACCATAACTGTTGTCGCCACCAAGAAGATTGGGCAGTAAGTAGTGCCTTCCTGTCGTCATCGTAAATAGTTTCTAACATATATACCACTTGATTACGCAGGAAGTCGGTGACGACGTCAAAATTCAATTTTGTCGACCTTGCGGGCTCTGAGCGCTGCTCCAAGACACTAGCTAGCGGGGATCGATTCAAGGAAGGCGTCAACATCAACAAGGGCCTCCTCGCATTGGGCAATGTGATAAATGTGCTGGGCTGTAAGTGAGATTTGAAATCATATATTGTATATACAGGCCGGCTAGCATTAACCCCTCTGCTCTTTCAATCCTTGTAGCTGGCCAAACATCAAGCTATGTGCCTTACCGGCAGTCGAAGCTGACACGCCTGCTGCAGGACTCGCTGGGCGGCAACTCGATTACCTTGATGATTGCCTGTGTTAGTCCCGCGGACTACAACGTGGCCGAGACGGTCAGCACATTGAGATACGCAGATCGTGCACTGCAGATCAAGAATAAGCCTGTCGTGAATGTGGATCCGCATGCGGCTGAGGTAATGATGCTCAAGGACATCATACAGAAGCTACGCGTCGAGCTACTCGCTTGTGGCGGTGGCAGCGGCAATGTGGGAAATGGAGAAGCCATTGGACTCAGTCTCAGCTCCTCGGAGGGATTGACTGCGCAAGAGGGGCGGAGGTACAAAGAGCAGCTAGAGAAGCTGCAGGAGGACTATGCACGCAGTGAGAGGATGAACCGCAAGCTGCAGCAGGAACTGCACCAAGCGCTGATCGACCTGGCCGAGAATGAGATCCGTGCTCACATCGCCGAAGTCACTCATGACAAGCTGAAGGTGCACCTCGTTGAGCTGAAGACAAAGCTGACCGAAGCTGCAATACCCAAGGCAGAGGAAAACGGCTCCGAGCAGGACCAGCCGACAGACCAATCTCAGCTGCTGGAAAAGCAGTGGCGCGAGAGGATGCGAGACATCACGCAGCTGGTTTCGTGCGTGGACGAAGAGCTGCAACAGACGGAAACCGCATTGCAGACACATCGCAAGGAATGCCTGAACGTTGACGAATCCAGCTCCGTCAGCTCAGAGTCGCACGAGCTTTTGGATTCGCGCGCAGAAGAGCACACGATGAAGCAGCTGTGTCTCAAGGGCGAACTGCGCGACATCGATCGCCAATTGACCCTGAAGCAGGAGCTGCACGAGCGTGTTGCGCGCAACTTTAGCAAACTCGAAGACGATGGCATTGACGAGAAGTTTAAGCAGTGCGAGCTGAAGATCAAGCAACTGGAATCGGAGCGAACTGAGTTGCTCGATCAGCTGCGTAGCACCAAGATGAAGGACACGTCCGCTAAGCTGGCCGAGGAGCGGCGCAAGCGATTGCTGCTGCTCGAGCAAGAGCTTACGGAGATGCGTCGCAAGATATTGCAGCAGGCAAATATACTAAAGATGCGTGAAAAGGAGCGCGAAAAGATCCAGAACCTCACCACCGAGATACGCGCCATGAAGGAGTCCAAGGTGAAGCTAATACGCGCCATGCGCGGTGAATCCGACCGCTTCCGGCAATGGAAGATGATGAGCGAGAAGCAGCTCACACAGCTCAAGAGCAAGGATCGCAAGATGCAGAGCGAAATGGCGCGCCAGCAAAATCTGCATGCCAAACAGCGACTGGTGCTCAAGCGGAAATGTGAGGAGGCACAGGCCACCAACAAACGGTAATTGAATTTGATGTGCTGGAAGGCAATTAATATTCACTCTCTGTTTTTCTTGATTTCCGTTCTTAGGCTCAAGGATGCACTGGAGCGGCAAAGAGCTGCACAGGCGCAACGCCAGCGACATACCAAGGATCAACCGGGCGCAGCTGATCTGGCTGCTTTTGTTGATCGCACACTGGAGGTAATTCTTTCGCTAATCGATGCCGAGTACAGTCTGGAGCAACTAATGGAAGATCGCGCCATTATCAATGCGCACTGCACAGAGCTTCGGGAGCAGGCAAATCCTGATGCCGACCAAGTCAAGCTGTTGGCCAGCCTAGAGGAGGAGCTGGAGATGCGAAATGCACAAATCGAGGATCTGCAACAGAAGGTCTGCTCCAACGATCTGGACAGTCGCATTGCAGCGCTCTGCGACAGCGTCCAAAGCGTGAGCGAGTCGCGCGGACTCAACAAGCAGCTGCTGAAGAATCTCGTGCAGCAGCGACGCGATCAGGCACAGAGCATCATGGAGCAGAAGGTGCTGGTGGACGAGCAGCGCACCCAGCTGAACGAGGCGCAGCAGCGCATCGAGGAGCTCACCAAACGTCTACGGCAGGCGGAGCGAGAGCACGCTGAGCTAATGGTTAGCCAACAGCGCAGCTACGAGGAGAAGGTCGCGGTGCTGCTGCGCAGTTCGCACGCACTGGGCGGCAGTGAAGCCCAGAATCCAGAAGACCTGGAACGCCAGCAGATAGTCGAAGAGCTGCTCGATACTAAAGAGAAGCTGCAACAGAAATTGGACAGTATCAATTCAAAAACGAAGAAAACTCCCGTTTTCGATGAATCCGTGATCAACGACAGCATTTTGAGCGATGGGTTTGAGGATCATGACGACGATCCCGACTGGGTGCCCGAGATGAAGCGCCCCAAGGTAAGCTACCATAGTTGTACAGCTCTTGCATCTGATTTAATCAACTCTTATTTTCCCCAGAAATCAAATACATCGCTCAGCAACGGTGACAATCCCAACAGTAGCTCCACCAGCAACAAAAACAACAACAACGCTGCCAGCAACGACAATAGCCTACAGAGCACCATAGACATGAGCTCGACGGCAGATGAGAGCCGCAAATCATCAAAGAACTGCAAGTGTCGCACCAAGTGCAACACAAGGCGCTGCGGTTGCTTCCTGACTAACATTGGGTGCTCCAGCAACTGCCGGTGCCAAGGCAACTGCCAGAATCCGACCAATACCAACAAGGAGAACTCCACTCCAGATGCACCACAGAACGAGACTGTTACGTTGGCTAGTGCTAACACAGATGGCGAGGAGGAATCTGATATTGACATGGTCAAAACAAATAGTTTCTCCAGTCCCGCTGTTGTGGCGGAGAAGAAATCCAGGTTATACCAACAATAGCTCCATAGTGTTTTTTTAAAACTAATGCTCTCATTTGCTTACAGAATGTCGCGATTGGATTTGAACACGCCCTCGACTAAGCAGAAGTTCTTCTGAGCGATATGCGGAACTCGTATTTTGTTTCATTAATTTTTTTTAATTTAAATAATATTGTTTTTAGCAAATAGAATTTAT